AGACTAATTTGGATTTTGTATAGGGAGCGTAACACACCTTGGTTCGTATAGATCTAGAGTTGCAGTAATTTACTTCTGACTTCTTTTGTTGGTTTGGAAACTTATTACGATTAAAAACAGCCTCGAATTAAAACTGTAAGCATGTGGTAACATTTGGCAACATAAGTTCTTTTAGTGTCGGCAAAGAAAGCCATCAATAGGTGTCAAAAGTCCATCAAACTATCGACCAATCACAAAAGTGAGCAGTCCTCTATTTGAATGATATGAAGCGAATATGGTTTATGTAACACTCAAACTTTAGAGCTATTGAAATAATTGTGTATATTTGCCCCAAAGGTGTATTTAATGTTTAAAATTATTTTTTTGCCACGAGTTAAGTTTATCCGTGAATTGTTGTTCTTTGTAAGCGCAATTCTCCCAGTTGTTCTTCAATTATGAAGGTTTAGAAACAAACTACAAATAACTACAGCTGGTGGAGAGACCCTGTAAAACTCACAGCTAACAGCCCCAGAGTCAGGTGCCCGTAATAGAATGATGCAATGAAAAACTAACCAAAAAAATACCAAAGCTTAGTGAAATTTTCAAATTTTGTCAGCCCAACCAACTCTTTACACCCAAACAGTAGTATTCACTTTCTCCTTACTGTTCTCTTTACATTTCAAGGTGCCGACAAGGAGAATTTGTTTGAAAACCAAGAGTTCCTTTAGTTGTTGATCATTTCCTTTATTCTAATGACCTTAATTCTTGTTTCGTGGGTGATATTGTGAGGCGAAAGTAGATGCCAGTCTCTCTATGGGGTTAAAGAGTCGAGAGAGAGCGTAAATATTAGAAACTTTCTCACTCCTGAAAAAAAATGGGTTTAGATGTAGTCAATTCTCGTTGAGGAGATCAAACTTACAAATTGCAAATGTGAATTATTTCGTTATGACCAGTCATTCTGGTTCGATTTCTCGAAAAGGGGCCAAGCTGTTAATCTCCCACCCAGCGAGTTAGCCTTAAACGACACGCCTCACTGAACGAGGACCTGTACTAGTGGTTAACCAGAAAGTTTGTTAGATCTAGATGGACATGAAAAGTCATCCTTCGATACCTCCTTTTTTCAATTTCGTTTGACTGGAGCCTATTACGTCAACTAAAGATTAATGGCCTGTTCATGCCCAAAACGGAGTAAACGTATCTGACCGATCTATCCTATCAGTTTTGATCCTATTAGTATTCTGTACATGCGTAGTCATGTCCACACTCGTCCCCAGAGCCCGCTCTTCCGTTGGTCAAGCAGGCGACCTCTCGATTCCTAAGCGCATGACAAACGGGACTACTGGGGACGGGCCATCGGGACTCTTCAATATGTCCCGATGGTCAATGCCTCAGTCTTCGGAGGTCACAACTAACTGATCCACTCGTCACCGACTATTTAAATTATTCTTCTCAACCTCGTCCAACAGTTGCTAATTACTTAAACATTCCCTTGAGATCAAATCAAATTATTTACATGCAACTGAAATTAAAAACTTCAAGCCCAATTAAGATGGATTTACGAATTAAGGTGTTGTGGTCAGATTGAGGCACTGGGTCTGCTGTACTAATTCATACTCCTCATCACATTCTTCAGGTTCTACAGGTTCTACACGTTTTTGATTGTGTACACCTTCTACTTTTACAGGCTCTACACGTACCACTTTTAAACTTTCTACCGGATTTTTTTGATTGGGTGAACCTGTTACTTTTCTAGATGCTTCTTTTAGAAAGTGCAGACGTGTGGCTTTTACACGCTCTACACCTTTTACACCTTTAATATTTTGTACACGTTCTATCATGGTTTCTGTTGTATCCTCATCCTCATCAATATGGTATTTGTAGCAATTGTTATTTTCGTGGCCACTGTTTCCAAAAGAGAACTTTACTGTCGTATCGTTCCACAAAGGTCTGCAGTTCTTTATAAGCATCCCCTCAATAAGGGAGCATAGTCTTTTATGTCTGAACTCATAGATCGAACCATGAAATCATGCACCTTTAAGTCTTTCGCTTTTTACACCGCGGTGGTTGTTGCGGCGAGTTAAGACACTTGTTTTAGACATTCCCACGTAGCCTGGTTGGTCATTTGATGGACTGACCAGGTCTCCGTAGAGTAATATATAAGGTCGACACCAGGAAATTGGGAACGCTCACCAGGATAACCAGTATTAGTGGAGAGTAGAAAAAGAGGCAAGCTTTAAAAATTTCACAGAAATCCCTTGCAAGATCCACGTGAACTTGTCATCTACATTCTGTTCCTTACATTCTTGACCAATTGCATCTTTTACTGCTAACTGTTGCACCTTTTCCATTCCAAGCTTACTAAAGAGGCGATTAAAAAGGTTTAAACATTGTCGAGTGCTGGCAAAGACAGTGGGGCAGTTCTCGAATATTCGTTGCACAAAGTATTGCACTGGATCACAATGCACTGCAGTTAGGTGAGAAAGAATCTTAATTGAACAAAGCTTCTATTCTTTTCTTCTCAATGTTTCTGATGTTTAATTCTATTTGCTCATTCTTACATTCGTGTAACTATTTGGGTCAAAATTAAAGCGAATCATATTTTCAGTTTTGGTTAATTTTCAAGAGAAGAATTCCAGGGGTTTCTGGGTTTCTGGGTTCTTTACGCCGCGTTACGGAAAAAAAGAATGGGCAAATTCCCCAATATCGCCAAAAATATACACAGGATAAACAAAACGGAAATATCAATTTAGAATTTGTTAATATTCAAACGTTCGGGACTCAAAAGTTTTCGGATTCGACATTCCAACTTTAAATTTCATATTCAAAATCACTGGAGACACGACCAAAGAGAAGGGGTTTTATTTCGGATTTTTTTCTAATTGTATGTAAACGGCGAAACGAATCCGGAACAATTTCGACTAGTGTAAATTTTGTTTCAATTGGGTAATTTACGAATTTAGTCTATTTCCGAAAGAATCGGAAACTGGAAATGGCTCGGAATACATTGGAAGACTTGGAGGATAGTATTTGATACCACAAAATACCGAAATACTGCGAGACAAATTGTCCACTATCTGGGCAATATCGCAAACCCCAGTGTCCTCCTATGCATACGTACTACAATATCCCCACAGTTCTAACTAAAACGAAGCATTCTATGTTCACTACGGGTATGTCTGAGTGAGCCCTTGTTACGGAGTCAAAAATGTTATGTGTTAACAAAAAATCTTTGGTAAAGATTTTTTTATTGTTCACTTCATCGACAGTCCAAGGGTCAGAAATGTACCTCAGGCATGTTAATCTTCGTCCTTGTTCCCCAACATAAACTATAAGCAATGAAGTTTGTGTCTTAACTGACACTTGTCTATATCGACTTCCAATTGACTGCAAATTAAAGTCATCTGCATTTAACAATTCCCAGCTTTTCATTTTGTTTCTCTGAAATCCCACCGTTGGGGATATTCCGTTAGGTAGCGCTTTATGTCGGAGCATGCACTCTAAAAAATCTCTTAAATGTGACTGCTGCATGGTTTGTCGTGAAACAAAAGACAATTCTGAGTCTTATGTTTTATTCGGTAAGGCGACTAAAGCCTTTCAAATTCAAATGGATATCCTTTAATCATGGGAATTTTGTCATAGGTAATTATTGAACATATCCTCGGGAAAATTCGACACTTTTCAAATTAAGTTTTCCCTTAAGTTTTAAAAGTTAGCATTTTATCTTATGGATATATCAGAGTTAGCCCTTGTTACGCAGTCAAAAATATTATGAACCCACCTAAAATCTTTTGTAAACGTTTTTTATTATTTAGTTCATCGACATTCGAAGGGTCAGAAACATATCTTTAATTGGTATGCTAATATTCGTCGTTGTTCGCTCAGCATAAATTGTTAGCAATGAAGTTTGTGTCTTACGTAACATTGGTCTTCATCGACTGCCAATTGACCGCAAATTAAAGTCGTCCGCAGTTAACATCTCTAGCTTCTCATTTTGTTTCTCTGGTTTTTAAGAGGGTAAGCGAAACCCCACCGTTGAAGATATTCCGTGAACTGCAGGTAGCACTTTTTCTTAAATGAGATTGGTGCATGGTTTGTTGTGAAACAAAGATAATTCTGAGTCTTATGCTTCATTCAGTAAGCGACTAAATCCTTTAAAATTCAAATAGGTAACCTTAATTGATGGAAATTTTGTCATAAATAATAAATTGCTGAACATAGCCTCAGGAAAATTCGACACCTTTCAAATATAAAAGTTATTCTAGTACGGGTATATAAACTGTTGATTTACCTTTTCGCTTTTAGCTAAACTAATTGATAGTTATACGTTTTTGAAACACCGTAAAAACGTCTGTGATTATAAGTGTCACGGATATTCTAAAAAAATCACATAGTGCAAATATCTAATAAGTTTCATAAACATCATGCTTTACCTTACCACTAAATAGTTCAACTTTAATAAAGTTTAAGATGGAAACTACTTAAACAATACTTGCATCTGTTCCGTCGCATTCACTGTGGCAAATTTTGCGACATTTGTCAAGAATGCCACCTCTCGATTCCTGAGTGCATGAGAAATGGGACTACTGGGGATGAGGTTGGGAAAAGACGACAGATCACTTTTTTTTTTTGTGGACGCAGTCGAAGATTCCCGGAAAATGAAAAAATCAATGATGTAAAACAAACTTGATAATCGAATGATAAAACAATTTTGAGCTCGATTACCACACATTTAGGCGGGTCGTCCTTGTCTCGGAGGTCAATCAGTCAGTCTTCGGTGTTCACAACCAACTGATCTACTCGTCATCGACTATTCACGTTATTTTTCTCAACCTCGTCCAGCAGTTGCTAATTACTCACACATTCCCTAGAGATCAGATAAAATTATATACAATTGAAATTAAAAACTTTAAGCCCAATAAAGGCGGATTTACAGAGGTGTGGTGGTTAGATTGAGCGCTGGTTCTGCTTTACTGATGTTTCTTATAGACCCGAACACGTTTCATCATTTCTCTTCTCCGACACTTAACCTTAGCAACATGGTATGCGTACCAGTTGTTGTCTGGGTCTTTAGCGTTACCAAAAGAGAACTTCACTGTTTTTTTGTTCCACAAAGGATCATAGTGATCTATAAGCATCTCCTCAATACTGGACGCATAGTTTTCTATGTCCAGAGTCATGAATCGAACGACGAAGTCCGTCACCTCTAAGTCCTTAGCTCCTACTATTTTCCTGCGGTGGTCGAACAGGCGATCTAAGATATCGTTGTTAGACTTTCCAACGTAGATGGGTACTTGAGAAGATCCAGCCAGCTTTCCATAAAGTGAAGTTTGACCAACGTAATAAATCAGGTAGACACCAGCAAAGTGTGGATGCTCACCAGGATAATCTTCACGTGTAATGATTGGAAAAATATTCAATTTTTCCACGAATGTCACAGCAACCTTCTGCAAGGTACTCTCGAACTTATCATCTTTTTTCCGTCTTTTAAATTCTTTATGAATTTCTTCTTCCACGTGAATCATTTTCCCCTTTTTGATTCCAAGCTTTATAGATATGCGTTTAGAAATATCTAAACAGCTTAGAATGGGGACAAAACCAGCAGACTTCAAGAGTTTGCTATCGCTAAGAACAGTTCTCACATACGTGTTGCATGAAGTTGTCAGCGTTTCGTTGGATTCAAACACTTCGCACCAGGAATAAATTTCTTGTATTTTCTGATGTATTTCAGAATCTTTATGTTCCCAACATTTTTGTAACGAAGGCAGATCAGCTTTTACTTTTGCCTTTGAGGCCTTCTCTTTCTTTCTGGAAGCAGTTGAAGCTTTTGACGCTTTTGACGCTTTTGACGCTAAGTCTTTCGAAATTCTATGAATATTGTTGAGGAATTTCTCAGACTTCTGTTTATTCCAATGTTTTCGCGTTTTCACCATCTTCGTTAGTTTTAGACAATTTTTTTCCTTAACCCTTGTGAACTTTCTAAAATCTTGTGGGATTATAAACCCACCTGAATTCGCCGAGCTAGAGTATTTCGATAAAACTTGCTTTTTAAGATGTCACACTGCCTGCAAAGGAACGGATAAATTCAGTTAAAAGCGAAATAAAAAGTCAGCGGAAGAAATAGCGTTTGCGCTCGCTCCGATATGTCGCCATAAGAAAAAATTTTCTTCCTGTCAGACTTGTAAGCCCCATGTTCCGCGCTTAAGCTAGTAATGTTTGTGAGATTAGACGCCTCCTGGTTTCAGTCACACAGAGGATTTCGTTCACCTCAACTCAGTATCAGGCGTACGAAGCTTCCATTCTCTGCTTCTTAGTGTTTCTAATGTTTAATTTTATTTTCTCTTTCTTACATTCGTGCAACTATTTGGGTCAAAATTACAGCGAACCATATGTCCGATTTTTTACACACTACAAACAACATAGAAATAGCAATTTAGAATCTGTAAACATTCAAACGTTCCGATTCAAAAGGTTTTAGATTCGATGTTCCAACTTTAGATTTCAGATTAAAAATCACCGAAGAGTTCAAAGGGAGAAGGATTTATTTCGGATTTTTTCTACTTGTTTGTAAACGGCAAAACTCACGAATCCGGAATCATTTCGACTCGTATGAACCTAGTCTCCGTTTGATAGTTTTCGAATTTAGCCTGTTTTCGAAACAATCGGAAACTGGAAATGGCTTAGAAAACACTGGAAGATTTGAAGGATAATATTTGATACCGCCCAAAATGCTACAAAAACTACCGAAATACTACCATAAAAATTGTCCATTATCGGCGCAATATCGCAAACCCCAGTGTCTTCCTATACTTACATATTAAGTTATCTCTTAAGTTGTAGCATTTTATCTTACGGATAAAATAAATGTTACGTGCCGACCTAGCTCGCTTGTGTGAAAATTTATACCAATGTAGAGGAGTTACGTATTAGTGTCACGGACATTCTCTTAAAATCACATGGTGCAAATAACTAATAAGTTTCACACACTCACTATACTTTGTCTCACCAATAAATAGTTCAGCTTCAATATCATTTACGAAGGCAGCGACTTAGACCATACTTTTAAGCATCTTGCTGTTGTCGATATAACGCTTGAAACGCATACTTTGGAAACTCTGCGCGGAAGCTAATTATCTTGTGATACCTCCCGGTGACAGAAACATTGTTTCCTTAGAAACTAATCAGCTTCAAACCTTGAGTTAGAAGTCGTCCTGAGGTTTCTGTTTGTCTTGTTTTTGACAAAAGCCACAAAGCTATAGATTCTGAGTTGTAATTTTCTACACTTCCAGGGGACTTTACGATGTTCTTCGCGAGAAGTACGAATGGCCGGAGTAGGACGCCATGGAATTCTCAGCGTTTCTGCTTCCAATGCTCGACTTCGACATTACTAAACGGGCGACAGCTGCTCAGTGCCTTGAACATCGCTGGCTGAGAGAAGTTTAGAAGAACCCAGAGGAAAACAAACCTGTGTTCGTTGAATTTGGTGTTCATTATCCTTTCAAGCCATCATGTACAGCTTTGAGATGACCAATGGTTGTCTGATATCATCAGGATATGTTGTTTTACTTTGAAACCCTTTTATCCAAAGATGGATTTATGTTTGGTCGAGCACCATCAACTTAAAACAACAACTCCTTGTGGCAAAAATAGAACGAAAAGGCGGCTAGTCACAAGTCGCGGATTTAACGGATTTAAGGTTATATTTTCGTTTGGAACTTTACAGTTCGCTTCCGATGAAAGATGATGAGGTGAATATTTCTTTAAAGATGTGAACGTTACACTGAGAACATTACACTCTTACACTTTTTCTGGATTTTCCTTGGTTTACTTATACTTATTTTACGTCATTTAAGTCTGTGAAACAAAAAAGTTCCTAAAAACATCCCGGAGAGTTCTCGCACTCAAAACTGTTACAATTTCGTCCAAATTCAAGGGACCTGTGCAAGGAATAAAGTATTCCGAAGACTCAATGTTGTAGAAAAACCACGAAAAAAGGACATCTTATTCGAAGAAGAACAACTTGAACAACATACCAAGTATTTATTCAGGTCACTACAAACTATATTTACACAGAGTCATTGATCTAACTACTTCTTATTGCAATGATTAGTTAAGACAGAGGCTAATTTTGATTTTATATAGTGAGCTATTTATAGAGTTGTGATAATTTATTTCTGACTTCTTTTGTTGGTTTGGAAACTCATTTGTAAATAACTCGATTGACTTCAGAGTCAGGTTTCCTTAATAAAAGGATACAATGAAAATCTACCCGGAAAAATACTGAAGCTTTGTGAAATTTTCAAATTTGTCAACCCAATTAACACTTTACATCCTAACAAGAGTATGCATATTCTCCATACTGTTCTCTTTGCATTTCCTAAGGTGCCGACAAGGAGAATGTGTTTAACAATCAAGAGCTGCTTTCGTTAGTGATCATTCCCTTCATTCTGACGACCTTAATGTTTGTTTCAGGGGTGATATTGTGTGGAGAAAGTAGAAGCCGGTCTCTCTAAGGGGTTAAAGAGTCGAGGGAAAGCGTAAAGGTTAGAGACTTTCTCACTCCTGAGAAAAAAAAATGGATTTAGACAATTCTCGTTGGGGTATCTAACTTAAAAAATGGTAAACTATGTTATTTCGTTCTGACCAGTCATTCTAGTTCGATTTCTCTGAGAAGGGGCCAAGCTGAAAATCTCTCACTCGGCAGTTAATTGTTAACGGCTCACCTTACCGATCGAGGACCTGTACTAGTGGCTAGCTAGGCAGTTTGTGAGATCTATAGGGACCTGAAAAATTATCATTCGATACCTTTTGTTTTCATTTCGTTTGTTTGGAGTCCACGGCGTCACCTAACGATTAATGATCTGTTTATACCCAAAACGGAATAACTGTGTTTGATCCTTTTAATATTCTGTACATGCGCAGTCATGTCCACACTCGTAACCAGAGTGCGCTCTCCCGTTGGTCAAGAATGTGATCTCTCGATTCCTACGCGCATGAGGAATGAGGTTGAGGAAAGACGGCAGATCACTTTCTAGGCAATCGAAGACGAGATTTTCGCAAGTTTTCCCTTAAGTTCTAAAAGTTAACATTTTATCTTATGGATATATCAGAGTTAGCCCTTGTTACGCAGTCAAAAATATTATGAACCAACCTAAAATCTTTTGTAAACGTTTTTTATTATTTAGTTCATCGACATTCGAAGGGTCAGAAACATATCTTTAATTGGTATGCTAATATTCGTCGTTGTTCGCTCAACATAAATTGTTAGCAATGAAGTTTGTGTCTTACGTGACATTTGTCTTCATCGATTGCCAATTGACCGCAAATTCCGCAGTTAACACCTCTAGCTTTTCATTTTGTTTCTCTGGTTTTTAAGAGGGTAAGCGAAACCCCATCGTTGAAGATATTCCGTGAACTGCAGGTAGCACTTTTTCTTAAATGAGATTGGTGCATGGTTTGTTGTGAAACAAAGATAATTCTGAGTCTTATGTTTTATTCAGTAAGCGACTAAATCCTTTAAAATTCAAATAGATAACCTTAATTGATGGAAATTTTGTCATAAATAATAAATTGCTGAACATATCCTCAGGAAAATTCGACACTTTTCAAATATAAAAGTTATTCTAGTACGGGTATATAAACTGTTGATTTACCTTTTCGCTTTTAGCTAAACCAACCGATAATTATACGTTTTTAAAACACCGTAAAAACGTCTGTGATTATGTGTGTCACCGATATTCTCAAAAGATCACATAGTGCAAATATCTAATAAGTTTCACAAACATTATGCTTTACCTTACCACTAAATAGTTCAACTTCAATAAAATTTACGAAGGAAGCTACTTAAACAATACTTTTAAGCCCGTCGCATTCTCTGTGGCAAATTTTGCGACATTTGTCAAGAATGCCACCTCTCGATTCCTGAGTAGACCAACCGGTCTACTTGGTATCGACTATTCACGTTATTTTTCTCAACCTCGTCCAGCAGTTGCTAATTACTCACACATTCCCTTGAGATCAGATAAAATTATTTGAAGTTGAAATTAAAAACTTTAAGCCCAATAAAGGCGGATTTACAGAGGTATAGTGGTCAGATTGAGCGCCGGTTCTGCTTTACTGATAATGCTGAAATCCTCAACACGTTTTATTATTTCTTCTCTCTTAAACTTAACCTCAGCAACATGGTATTTGTACCAGTTGCTCTTTGAGTCTTTAGCGTTACCAAAAGAGAACTTCACTGTTTTATTGTTCCACAAAGGATCATAGTGATCTTTAAGCACCGCCTCAATAGAGGGCGCATAGTATTTTGAGTCAACAGTCATGATTCGAACGACGAAGTCCGTCACCTCTAAGTCGTTAGCTCTTGCCATATTCCGGCGGTGGTCGCTCAGGCGATTTAAGATATCGTTTTTGGACTTTCCAACGTAGATGGGTTTGTCTTGAGAAGGCCTGACCAGGTCTTCATAGAGATAAGTTTCACCAATGTAATATATCAGGTAGACACCAGGAAAGGAAGGATACTTACCAAGATAATCACTGCATATGGCGAGCGGCAAAATAGACAAATTTTCCACGAATTCCACGGCAACCTGCTGCAAAATACTCTCGTACTTACCACTTTTATTCGTTATTCGACTCAGTGCATCTTCCACGTTTAACGTTAGCTCCCGTGGCGAAGGCAGAGCAACTTCTACTGCTGCCTTTGAAGCCTCCCCTTCCTTGCTGTAATTAGTTGAAACTTTTGACTTTGAGGCATTCGAAATGTCATAAACACTCTCTTGCAACTCTCTTGGCAGTTCTTCCATCTTCGGTAGTTTCCACAATTTTCTTCCCTAACCCTCGTGAACTTCCTAAAATCTTGCAGGATTATCACCCTTCCTGTGTTCACTGGGCCGCAGTATTTCAATAAAGCTTGCTCTTTTAGATGTCACACTGCCTGCGAAGGAAAGCATAAAGTCAGTGAAGAGCGAAATAAAAAAGTCAGCCGAAGAAATGGCGTGTGTGTTCGCTCCGATATGTCACCGTCACATAACATTTTCTTCAGGTTAGGCTTGTAGACCCCATGTTCCGCGCTTAGGTTAATAATGTTTGTAAGATTAGACGCCTTCTGGTTTCAGTCATGCAGACGCCTTAACCCTCCCCAATTCAGTATCAGGCGATAAAAATCTCAAGCTCGAAATTAAAAAAAAAAATTGAAAGCATGAAGCGCAGCCAATTACATTGCAGCATTTGTGATAGAATGCTATTAAATTGATTCACGAACATTATTTTCACTCTTGATTAACTCTGATAGAAAACAGATTTTTCAAAGTTTATTGACTTAGAAATATACAGATACTATCATGTACAGCGGTTGTGAGGGAAACTTTACCGCAGCTGGCTAACCTTTTGACAACAAGTTGCGGTCAATGTTGCATTCGATTAATTTTCCAAGCAACACCCAAATTAGCATATGCTCAACAATTCATTATGGCAGAACGACGTTTCCTATTACAATACACTGCAGTTTGAAACAATAAACTGCTCTGTTAGTTAGAAAAAACCCCTCAGAATCTTAATTGAACAAAGCTTCTCTTATTTGTTTCTCAGTTTTTCTGATGTTTAATCTTATCTTCTCTTTCTTACATTCGTGCAACTATTTGGGTCAAATTAAAGCGAACAATAGTTTTGGTTTTGGTTAATTTTCAAGACAAGAATTCGAGGGAATTTTCTTGGTTCTGAACGCTGCATACAGAAAAAAAAAAAGGGTAAATTCCCTTATATTGCGAAAAGTATACACAGTACAAACAACATAGAAACAGCATTCCAGAATTTGTTTTCGGATTCCACTTTCCAGCTTTAGATTTCAGATTCAAAATCACCGGAGACACTACGAAAGAGAAGAGGTTTTATTTCGGATTTTTTCTACTTGTGTGTAAACGGAAAAACGAGTCCGGAACAATTTCGACTGCAGTTAACTTGTCTCCATCAGCTGCCAATTGACCGCAAATTGAAGTCAACCGTAATTAACACTTCTTAGTGTCGTTGAAGATATTCTGTGAACTGTAGGTAGCGCTTTATATCAGAGCATGAACTCTTAAAAAAAATCTCTTAAAAATTGGATTGCTGCATGGTTTGTCGTGAAACAAAATACAATTCTGAGTCAAAAGTTTTATTCAGTAAGCGACTAAAGCCTTTCAAATTCAAATAGGTAACCTTTATTGATGGAAATTTTGTCATAAATAATAAATGGTTGAACATAGCCTCTAGAAAATTCGACACTTTTCAAACATAAAGCTTATTCTACTACGGGTATATAAACTGTTAATTTACCATTTCGCTTTTAGCTTAACCAATGATAATTATACGTTTTTAAAACACCGTGAAAACATCTGCGATTAGTGTCACGGATATCCTCAAAAAAACTCGTAGCGCAAATATCTAATAAGTTTCACAAACATTATGCTTTGCCTTTCCAATAATTAGTTCAACTTCAGTAATATTTACGAAGGCAGCTACTCAGACAATACTTTTAAGCATCTGTTCCGTTGCTGATATAAATATTGAAATCTTCTCAGCTAGGAAATGTTCTCAGCTTTGATTGGATTCGATGCTCTCGCCACGAACCTTGATCAAAAGCCATGGACCTTTTGCACTCTCTGTACGTGGCAAATTTGGCGATAAAACCTTTTTTTTTTTCACGCATAATTCCTTAAAACAGACTATTTTCCCCAACTTTTAGCACGAGTTACGGACAAGAAGACCAGTAAGCAAGATGGACGCACACTTTCGATCTGTGAAGATTGAGTACTTTTGTAACCGGGCTTCATAATGGTGGAAATTTTTAACTAAAGAAATCTGGGGCCGGACTCAAGGGTCTCAGGATTAAGTAGAATGAGTTTTTGAACCATTTTGGAGGAATGAAACGTGCCAAAACGATTGGATTACTTGTGGTAGCCATGGCAACCAAAAAAACAAAAAATGCATGGCAACCAAAAAAAAAACGATGTGCTGGCCTTCAAAAGCGGCTGTTTTTAGCGGTGCATGAATAAATAAGCGTAAAAAACATATTATCTGAAAATAGATGAATTCAAGTATCATTTAAGAGGAAATAAAGAAAAAAGGGTGAAGTTTTCAATTTTTCTTCAAAATCCAAACGTAATGCCCCCTTAAAGCGAACCATATTTTCGGTTTTGGTTAATTTTCAAGACAAGAATTCGAAGGGGATATTCTGGGTTCCGAACGCTGCCTTACAGAAAAAAAAGAATGGGCAAATTCCCCAATATCTTCAAAAATATAAACAGTACAAACAACATAAAAATAGCAATTTAGAATTGGTAAATATTCAAACGTTCCGGACTGAAAAGAGTTCGGATTCGACGTTTCAACTTTAAATTTCAGATTTAAAATCACCGGAGAAACGACCAAAGAGAAGACGTTTTATTTCGGATTTTTTCTGCTTGTGTGTAAATGGCAAAACGAATCCGGAAAATTTCGACTAGAGTGAACCTAGTTTCAGTTAGGTAATTTTCGAATTAAGCTTGTTACCGAAAGAATCGGAAAGTGGAAACGGCTCGGAAAACAGTGGAAGACTTGGAAGATAATATTTGATATCGCCCAAAATACCGAAATACTGCAAGAAAAGTTGTTCACTTTCGCAATATCGCGAACCCCAGTGTCCTCCTATTCTTAGTTCTAACTAAAACGTAGCATTTTATCTTACGGATATATCTAAGTTAGCCTTGTTACAGAGTCACAAATGTTATGTGCCAACCTAAAATCTTTTGTAAAAGTTTTTTATGATTTAGTTCATCGACATTTGAAGGGTCAGAAACATTTCTTTAATTGGAATACTTACATTCGTCCTTGTTCGCTCAACATAAATTTTTAGCACTGAAGTGTGTGTCTTACCTGACATTCGTCTTCATCGATAGCCAATTGACCGCAAATTAAAAGTCATCCGCAATTAACACTTCTAGCTTTTCATTTTGTATCTCTGGTTTTTTGAGGGGGTAAGCGAAACCCCACCGTTGAAGATATTCCGTGAACTGCAGGTAGCACTTTTTCTTAAGTGGTATTGGTGCATGGTTTGCCATGAAACAAAAGACAATTCTGAGTCAAAAGTTTTACTCAGTAAGCGACTAAAGCCTTTCAAATTCAAATAGGTAACCTTTATTGATGGAAATTTTGTCATAAATAATAAATGGTTGAACATGGCCTCAGGAAAATTCGACACTTTTCGAACATAAAGCTAATTCTAGTACGGGTACATAAACTGTTGATTTACCATTTCGCTTTTAGCTAAACCAACTGATAATGACACGTTTTTAAAACACCGTTAAAACATCTGCGATTAGTGTCAAGGATATTCTCAAAAAAAACGCGTAGCGCAAATATCTAATAAGTTTCGCAAACATTATGCTTTGCCTTACCAATAATTAGTTCAACTTCAGTAATATTTACTAAGGCAGCTACTCAGACAATACTTTTAAGCATCTGTTCCGTTGCTGATATAAATATTGAAATCTTCTCAGCTAGGAAATGTTCTCAGCTTTGATTGGATTCGAGGCTCTCGCCACGAACCTTGATCAAAAGCCATGGACCTTTTGCACTCTCTGTACGTGGCAAATTTGGCGATAAAACCTTTTTCTTTTTCACGCATAATTCATTAAAACAGACTATTTTTCCTAACTTTTAGCACGATTTACGGACAAGAAGACAAGTAAATAAGATGGACGCACACTTCCGATCTGTGAAGATTGAGTGCTTTTGTAACTGGGCTTCATATTGGTGGAAATTTTTAACTTAAGAGATCTAGGGCCGGACTCAAGGGTCTCAGGATTATGTGGAATGAGTTTTTGAACCATTTTGGAGGAATGAAACGTGCCAAAACGATTGATTACTTGTGGTGGCCATGGCAACTAAAAAACAAAAAATGCATGGCAACCAAAGAACAAACAATGTGCTGGCCTTACATTGCTGAACTCAGGAAAATTCGACACTTTTCGAACATAAAGCTAATTCTAGTAGGGTATATAAACTGTTGATTTACCATTTCGCTTTTAGCTTAACCAACTGATAATCACACGTTTTTAAAACACTGTGAGAACATCTGCGATTATTGGTGTCCGGCGGATATTCTCATAAAATCACATAGTGCAAATATCTAATAAGTTTCACAAACATTTGCTTTACCTTACCAACAAATAGTTCAACTTAATTAACATTTACGAAGGAAACTACTTAGCCAATACTTTTAAGCATCTGTTTTGTTGTTGATAAATATTGAAATCTTCTCAGCTCCTAAATTTTGATTGGAATCGAGGCTATGGTCTTGAAACTTGGTCATAAGCCATAGACCCTTTATTAGCGGAATGTACGAGACTTGTTTCGCTTTCGCACTCTCTGTGGCAAATTTTGAGATATTTGTTTGGGTGTCTGCAATAAAATAATAATTACGCTTCTTAAAAATAAAATACTTAAAGGCTAACTCATGTCAATTCCGCTCTCATGGAATAATTGCTAAATAAAGCTTGGGAAATGCCATGGTTGCAGATTAGAAATGTGAATTACGTCTCGAAGGTCCCGCTGAATACTGCTTGGGCGAGTTGGGTTCCCTCATTAAATATCAATATTATTGGAGGGTTTAAATGAGTTTAACCGTTAAAAACGGAACGACGGTTCCTATTACAATACATTGCAGTTAGCCGAGAAAAACGCCTCAGAATCCTACTTGAACAAAGCTTTTATTCTTCAGTGCTTTTCAGTGTTTCTGATGATTAATCTCATTTTCTCTTTCTTACATTCGTGCAACTATTTGGGTCAAAATTAAAGCGAACCATAGTTTCGGTTTTTGTTAATTTTCAAGACAAGAATTCGAGGGGAATGTTTTGGGTTCTGAACGCCGCAATTTTAAACTGCAATCAAGTTTTCTCTTTAGTTTAACAGTTGAGTTGATGATGTTATTGGCGATGTGAAATAGGTTGAAAAGTTTAAGATAGTATTTTCTCATGTTTTTCATTAATTGAATTTACTGGAAGGTGGAGTTGTTGCCACCTGTTAACATGAAACGCAACGACAAATTTTATTAATATGTTAAAAGTTTCATTTGATTATCTACTGGCAAGTCTTTGTATTATACTTCAACCCAGCCATTTTCCACAACTTCTAAACACTATTTCAAAATGATTAGTCAGAGAAATGGAAAATTTCTGGCATATACATTACGTTTGAAATGCTATGTCCATAGTAAGCTAACATGATTGAGGAGGGTGTATGTGGGAATAGGCTCTCTTGTCTGTATTATTAATTTGCTAATCGCTCCTTTTGGCAATGTTTTGATGAGGTTGGGCTGTCAGAGCAAAGAAACTGAGGATTTTCGCTGGCCGTGACTTTTTTCAAACTTGGAAACTATCATCGTGGAAGCCATACTTGTGCCTGACAACTCATTCTTATACTGTTCAACTAGTTTTAAGAAAGATACAACATTTCACAACATAAATTTGATGCATAGAATGTGCACAAAAACTATAATTTCACTATACTTTAAGAGCCAATACCAATCTTTTCACATAATAAAATGTTAAGAGGATCAGAGGAAAAAATTTGTGCCATACATCTGGAAGATTTCATGTAATTATTTCAATCACATGAATATCAACTGATACTAGGAGATAGGAGATCTTAGAACGTTAAAAAGAAAATAACATTTGGTTGAAAAATTAGAATTCAGCATGGGCCGGATAAGCAAGATTCTTAGAAAAAGAAATGTGTAACAATGAAAAAGCTAAGCGAACCTTTTTACAACACCTGCTCATGAATTCGAAAACTGTAAGCAACAATTGTTTACACTAACCATGTGCTTACCAGCGTGCTTGTGAGCTCAAATTGCCAGGACCCCGTTTAATTACACGATCAAAACTCGAACGCTTCTTGCAAAATGTAATGACTATCAATTCCAGAGATTGATTCCACAATTTCCAACACTAGGAAAAAATTAAAGTATCGCAAGCATGTTTATCACAACCCGAGCAAGAAGTAAGCCTCGAGATGTTGAGCGAAGAGAAAGTGGCTCCATGTTTTGTGAGACAAAACCATTTCCTGAAGTTCGAACGAATCGAGTAGAAAGCATGAAAACATAGCGCTGAAAAGTTAGACAACCAAACAATGAAATTCACTCATCCCGCTGTAGCACTACCTCTGTTTTACCCGTGGATTTGTTTGCACTACACGTTTGCGGTCCGTAATTTAATTCTCAGATGTTTGACGGGTTCTCACATGACAATATTGTCAAAATCAAATTACTGCGTCAGACTTAATGTAAACTTGAACATCGCTGACTCAATCTCAGTTTATTTCAATTTTGGGAAAGGCCGCTACTTCGTTCTTAAGGTAAAACAATACATCTTCGACAAAGTGCGATCCTTTTAAATGCATAGTGTAAATCCTGCGATAGTTTACTGAAGGAAAAAAAAAGTAGAAAATTTCGCTCGTTGTTCGCCATAATTTGAAAACTTTTTAGGAAAAACAAAATCCTAGAAAGATAACTTCTTTTCCCTTCACACCACGACTGTATTACACATTCCAAACAATAGGACAAGAAATAACCTAAAGAATACGAACACAATGAAATGTTATTCGAGTGATAAACGACGCAAGGGCTTTTAGGCGATGAATGCCAAAGTCAATGTTTTACCAAAACGTGATCAGTTGAATTAAAAACTGAAGCTAGTATAAAACGATTGGTGAAAAAAAAAGTTTGAATTTTTCTGGGCCTTAGCGTACGAAAAAACCAAAATAAAACATGACTTACCTCCTCTTCTTTCTCGGTTCCTTTGTAGTTCGCTTCTCTTTGTTGATGACCTCTTTTCAGTCTGTTTTCAGGAGCGACTTCGTATTTCTTTCTCGCGTTACTTTTCGCTGGATATTTGCCTTTTTACTTTTGCCTTTTCTTGTTCTCTTTCGCGTTCCTCTCGTCGTGTTCTGCCTATTTTGGCGCCTTTCCTAACTTTCTTGCGCGATTTTCTCGACTCGCTTTACGCCGTTTACCCGTTAGTTTCTTTGGTCGGTCTGTCTCTTTCTATCCAGCCGACATGTATTTCCACTCAAAATCCTCTTTCCACGAACTTGAATTTAAACAATTTCCTCCGTTTGACAAAGGTTTAGCTCTGCCAGTATTTTTGCTTTGCGAGCTGATTAGAAATTGCAACAAATGAGAATTACTGTTCAACTAAAACCTCGCCAGTTTGATTTCCCGCTTAAAGCGCGGGTTGCAAATTATTTGATTACGCAGCTTCATATCTACTAGCCCATGTGAAGCCCTCGTGTAATGCCTAACCGTGTGCCCGCAGTATGCTGCACTAAAGCTTGGCACGCGAGTATGCGCACTTCATTGTCATCTTGCTGATGTCTTCTGGCGCATGCTACAGGGGTATCCAATTTATGTAAGCAATCGTGCTTGCGCATTATCTTCTTCCTCGCCCTTCCATTATGTAATAGCCAAGATACTGCCCGCGGTACAGTTGACCACGCACGCTAGAAGTAACATCTTCAACGGACGTCTGTAGGATCATACGTCTAAAGTTTTTCGGCTTCTTGGGTTACTACTGTTTCGTATCATCATAGGGCTACGCTGCGTGCGCTGCGAGCTCCGCTATTATTGTATGCACGCTAAGCTCATTGTTTTAAGACCCAGACTTACACATAATTCAGCTTTAATGTTTCCAAAAAACCTCTTTCAGCAAAGTAAAGGCTCAATATATTCGATGTGTGGTCTTAAATCTTCTAAGAAATAAAAATAGTATCAATACTATATTCTTGCTCAGTTGAGTGATCTCTTTTTTAATTGAAAGCTTTTCATCCAATATAAATATCAAGGTATAATATAAATATTAAGGTAAGAAGTAGACCTTAGAAGTAGATGTAACATCAATGCTATTTTCTTAAAGTTGAGTAATCTCTGTAATAATAGCTTTCCAAACACATATCAAAAGATAAAAACTAGTACATCTCGGATGAATCCACGACCGGGTGCTCTCAGGCTCTAAGGGGAGTGTTTGGTTTAGTCATCAACTAAAAATTAACTTGCTTAGAAAACCGCTGAGAGTTTTTATGCTGTTGTTGGAAAAAAAAAAGCTGCCTTTTTACAAGTCGGCCCTTCGTTAGAGCTCCGAGATTTAAAAGGAGCGGAATGCTTTGAAAAGCTTGTCCCAGAAAATGGACACAGTCCTTGCATGAAAATTCTTGTGACAAAAAGAGATCAATAAGTCTCTCTTTCTTTTCCATCGGGGTTAGATACGAAAGTACTTTGTAGGCAACTATTATCGTCCTGTTCAGAATCCGCTTAACATAATCTACTAGCAGAGCCCCTGATCAAAATGAAACCGACGGGTTCCTTTCCTCCTTTTATCGACATTCAAGATCCGAATTAGGAAAAAAATGAAACTTCCGTTATACTTTAGAAGTTACATATCAAGGGCTTTGTTCCATCGACATTTTCTGATTGACTAACACAAAAGGAAAATTAATGATGGATATCATACTGTTCGTGTCAAATCATGTGGTAAACACACTATGGAGTAACCTTCGTTTGCATTCTTTGTTGTGATTAAAAATATATTTTCTAAGAAGAAGCGGAACTGGCAAAAAAGGCTCTGTAAATGTTTTGCGAAAATTCCAGATCCTTTGCAATTGTCGTGAATGGCCTAAAGAAGTAATTTCAAGGTGGTGGATGGTCTTAATGAAAACTGTGGGTCGGAGCCGCAAGTTCTGGGAATCTTCTGTATAAAGAGAGATAAGAATCCATGAAAATCACTATTCCTGAAAAACATCTTTCTTCTGGTAAAGTAAAGATCTGAGGAAATTTATGGTAAGATTCAACAGGTACTTGCGAGGATTTGGGTTCTCGGCTGCCTCCTAACGTAGAGATCGAATGGTGTTAACTGGTCGATTAAAAAGCAATTGGAAAAAGTGATAATTAAGAAGCAGTAATGTCTAAGATTTTAGTTTTTTTATCATTTTAGTTATCATATTTATTTTTATCATATCATTTTATTATTTATTTTTGATATTTCTTTATCATTACGTTCTATCTCCCATCGAAAAATTCATGAAATATGTTCATATCTTGGTTTCTCCAAGCAACTGTTAAAGATTATTGCCTTTGTTATTCATTTGTGATCAGTCACCCTTTGGATTTTATTGTGACTAGGGCAGCGAGATCATAGTCTGATTTGCAATACAGCTATTAATACTTATTAATTAACAATTATTGTTCAAGCGAAAAGTTTCCCATCCATGACTGCATTAGAATGTGCCTGATGAATTGCGTCATTGTGGAAATTCGAGTCACATAATTGGTGTGTCCTTATTGCTGCTTAATTTCTTTGCCTCTTTTTACAATATTTATTGAGTCCGAATTGTGCTAGAATAACATTTCGTGCCGTGTTCCTTGTGTTCGGTGAACTCTATGAGGCCCCTGTGGTTTGAGGCTCATAATTAACTCGCATCACTGCCTCTGAGCTCACAGGTGGCCCAAGCTCCAGCTGTGAGACGATCATCTCGCGTAATAAGCGTCATGGCGAAAATGAAAAAGTTTGTATGGGAATATTTACAACCGCTCGCAGGAAGTAAGGGACTACGCCGTCAGTTGGCATCAACCCAGCTGGTTTCAACGGTCGTGTGTCGTGATGAATGTGTACGCGGGTTGTTAGAAACGTGTAAAGTGGAAATTTAGGAAGCAAACGGCGGCTTGTCGTCGGTTCCACCGGGATGATTAAGTTGGTAGAGAATTGAAATGAAACTACAGTATATTTGGCTGGATTCTGCGTTGGATTTGAGGCCGCTCAGTCATTTTGAGTATGGATTTTTCGTTTCTCGGATCGGGTGTTCGGAAATAGTGTGCGACCATGTTTTCTCGCTGCAGCACATGGCAATATGAAGGACCTTTATGATACCACCAGGAAGTTGGCGGGTAAATTTCAACAGACTAGCAGCCAAGTAAAGGACAAAGAAGGTAATATCTTGACTAGGGAAGATGAGCAGCTTAAGCGGTGGGCACAATACTTCAATGATCTCCTCAATCGTCCTCCCCCGCCAGAACTTCCAATAATACCGGAGGCTTCAGCTGAGCTGAATGTGAACTGCGGGAAGCCATCCAAAATAGAGATTGTGCGCTCTATCAAGATGCTTAAATCAGGGAAAGCAGCTGGCCCAGATAACATACCTCCAGAGTCCCTGAAAGCTGACCCCGACCTATCAGCAGATATCCTCTATGGCTTGCTTGGAAAGATATGGGAAGAGGAGGAGATGCCCCAGGACTGGAACGAGAGCTACATTGTAAAACTGCCAAAGAAAGGTGACTGCCGGGAGTGCAAGAATTACAGAGGTATATCCTTGATGTCAGCGGCAGGGAAGGTGCTGAACAGAATTATCTTGCTTCGTCTTCAGGGGGCTGTGGATGCTACACTGAGAGATCAGCAGGCTGGCTTCAGGAAGGACCACTCCTGTATCGACCAAATAGCCACACTTAGGATAATCATTGAGCAGTCATTTGAATGGAACACTTCTCTTTACGTTAATTTCATCGACTTTGAAAAGGCTTTTGATAGCCTCGATAGAAGTGTTCTTTGGTGCCTTATGAGACACTATGGCATACCGGGGAAATTCATTCGAATCATCAAAAATTCCTATGATAAGATGACTTGCAGAGTCCTTCATGCTAGTGGATTGTCAGATAGCTTCACGGTCAACACTGGGGTCAAGCAGGGTTGTTTGATGGCACCGTTTTTGTTTCTACTTGCTATGGACTGGATCATGAAGGAAACAACTAGAGAACAGCGAAATGGGATCCAGTGGAACTTATTGGAGCAACTTGAAGATCTAGAGTTTGCTGATGATATCGCCCTGGTGTCAAGTAACAACCAACAAATGCAGGACAAAACAGCACGGCTAACAGCTAATTCCATCAAGTTAGGCCTGCATCCGAATGTGAATAAGACCAAGGTTATGAAGGTCAACTGCACCAACAACAGACCAGTTAAAGTGAGGGATACCATCTTGGAGGAAGTAACATCTTTTGTCTACCTAGGCAGTGTAGTCAGCATTGATGGAGGTTCCGATGAAGATATCAAGGTCAGGATAAACAAAGCCAGAGTAGCTTTCAATACACTGAGGAAAGTGTGGTCCTCCCATGTCATCTCACGGAGAACCAAATTTAGAATTTTTAACACCAGTGTCAAAGCAGTCCTCCTCTATGGCTCAGAAACGTGGAGAACAACTAAGCAAACGTCCCAGAAATTGCAGACCTTCGTCAATAAGTGCCTTAGGCGAATTTTAAAAATCAGTTGGACTGACAGGGTAACGAACGAGATGCTGTGGGAATTAGCAGGCGAGGAACCAATCATAACTCAGATCTCAAAGAGAAAGTGGAGATGGATAGGTCACATCCTAAGGAAACCGGCTAACAACATCACCCGGCAGGCATTACGTTGGAACCCCCAGGGCAAGAGAAAGAGGGGTCGTCCCAGGAACTCCTGGAGAAGAGGTGTAGAGTCCCAAATGAGAAACTGGGGCCACACTTGGGCCACTTTAGGAAGTTTTGCCCAGGACAGAACCCGATGGAGGACGGAAGTGGTTAATGGCCTATGCTCCAACCGGAGCTAAGGGAATATATATATGTTTTCTCGCAGGAGTAGGAAACTTAGAAATGGATAACTCGCTATAATGGTCTCTTTTTAACAAAGTAAGCGTTCAGACAACAAGCGATGCACTGTGGAAGTAAGGTAAGGCATTTTTCATTGACAATTTGACGGTATTTTTACTTCCTAAGAGTGGTCGTAAATATTCCCATACCAACTCTTATATTTTCAGCATTACGCTTAGTACGCAGATGATCATCTTGCAGGAGGTTGGGCCGCCAATTCTGAGCTCGAACCTTCTCTGTCAGTTTCGAATGGCAAGCAATTAAATTTATCTTTCTGCGTCGTTGCTCATGGCATCGAATGCCTTTTTGCAAATAGTACACGCTCAGGAATCATCAGTCGTAAAGAAAAACTCCTGGTTCCTGTAGGTCTTTCCTTATTTTAGCGATGTATTCGATATAAACCAAAATCAAAACAAAAATGTTTGCGCAACTGTGACTATGACTAAATTTTTTCCTGCCGGTGGGCAACTCTCGGCCGCCATATTGTAATGCAAAGATAGCAGTTATTTCGAAATTTTGGAGGCAAATTTCGCAAAGATTTCTATCTTCAATTTTCTTAATACTACAATAAATATGAAAAAAAATCGGGCTTCGCATCTGCTAGCCGTCAGTGCGGCCGCAGATGCACGCTAAAAGTTAAGCTCCAAATATTTTAAACCCTATCAGAAACATATTTGATAATAGAAAACAAAAGGCCAAAAACACAGCCGTAACAATCAACATCAAACTATTTTCTACTCGGACACTGGTTCGGCGATAAATGAGAAGCATATTTATCCACTTCTAACCGAATTACCTTTGCTCTTTTTTCTTTCCCAAAACAAGTTGCACGTAGCTCGAGTTATGTTTCCTTGTTATCAAGTTCGAACATAACGAGTTCGCCTTACTTTCGCATTCCTTTGAATCGCCAAATTTTTACCGCAAACGAGTCATGTCTCTTTCTATTAGCTTTTCAGGAGATTTTGGAATTAACGAACTTTAGGATCCGAGATCAAAATGCCACGGAACTAAAGGACAAGATAGATTCTTGAAATTGAACCTGAAGACGCCATTTTGATGAGGACAGCTTAAAAACATAATTGCCTTTAGGCTAGTTCATGAAAGTGATTTAATGCTTTCCACTACGTCGTCCTCTCTTTACGATGACAATCATATTTAAACCATTAAGGGCTTACCTTTATTCGCAGGGGATTTCGATTTTATTGAATCACAACTGTATGATGTTTGCAACAGACTCAACCCGTAAAGCTGAAAAGGCAACAAGGAACACATTATTTTTATATTTATGAGTTTACGCAAGTTAAACGAGTGAAGGATGACACAAACTTGTTATTATGCTGGCGAAATGCGATTCAAAATGTGGCGAAAATTCTGTATAAGACATGATTTATTTTCTTGTGAGATGAAAATATGTCAGTGAAGGCTATAACGCCTACTTTAGGATATCAGAACATTGTTTCCACAGTTATTGTTGAACAGCTCACATTTCAATTGCTTTTGAGAATGAAACCTTTCTCCATGGTAACAAATGTTTAGCTCTTAAAATTTTGATCGTGAAAGTGTGATGCTTGACATTTTTCTCTACTACGCTGACATATCAATTCTCAGCTGGTACCGAGAAGACCAGCCTTAAGGTGATTTTAAGTTTTTGTTTTCATTTTTTTTTCCACCGAGAGCGGAATATACATGACAACCTATTGAAACGTGAAAACCTTGTCATTAAAAGTTTATATAGTTTTTAAGTTTAAGAGCCATTTTCCGAGAAAATCGAAAATCGCAAGACACTCGTAAAAAAATTGAATTTTTTTTCTTTTGCCAAAACACCCCTTTTAGTGACCTAATTCAAGAAAAAATAGTTTTGGGTTCAAGCGATTCATTGTACGGGAGAAATAACAAATAGTTTGAAAAATCGTTTTATTGCTATCTTTTCGCGCTTAAAAACAACAGAATCCGACCGCAACTTCGAGAAAACGGTGAACGCATAAGAAACAATCTCTAACATCGAAACTTCAGCCGAGTATTATTTCGTTCTTAATCTTTAAAATCCTAAAAGAAAATTTGAAGAAAGAAGTTTTTAACATTTACAATCGACAAGTTTAAAAAGGTCGTATTTGTGTCTCTTGAAATGTTAGAAAATGAAAGCGAACTTTAACCGTTGTAAAAGCCCTCTGGTATATGCCGCTTCCTAGTAAAACCCATATAGAATAAAGCCTTGGCTATTGAAGTAAATTACAGGAACGTTTTAGCTCTGGAAATTAAATACAGCCCTGACACTGGAGTAAGCAATTTGAGAATTTAAGTTAATAAACTTTATGCAAATTAGACGGCCCGCTAAATGAATTCATACTAAATGCAAAGTTTAGTATAAAAGGACTACTTAATGTTGCTTGAAATATGTTTTTACAGTGAAAATGTTATTTCTAGCTTTCAGCTGTGTTGGTAAGAGCCGTAAATAACTTTTTATATGACGACTGAAAAACGTTTGTTTAGCTACTTCGCTACCAGCGAAATCATTGAGATCGCAACTTTTAACTGAAGCTGTCATCGCTTGACGAAACTCCGTTACCACAATTTTAAAATAGTTTTCTTCAGGGGGAAAAAACAGAATTAAAATGCATTCGAGACCGTTGACTTCGATTTTGAATTCCTTTAGTTAAGATTTCAAGCCACCACAAGGTCTTATGACCTCTACTGACCCGGAAATCGGTTACATGCCAAGGTCACGTTAGCAAACTGTCACGAAATACTCAATAGCTTCTGTTTTCGGCCTTTGTTTTGGTAAAAAAAAAAATATAAACTTTTCACAGAACAGACCTTCTTGCTTTATTTGATTTATATATTTGTGTTGGTCTGGACACATGCATATGCTGACCGGCTGTGAAAGACATTCATCACAGTTTTTGATTCAGAGTGGTATAATATTTCCCAAAATATTTCAAACACAAATGTTTCCTTAATAAGTTCGTTATTCCCAAATTTCCCACCTTGCAATAATCCCTACAGCAAAAAAAAAAAAAAAGAAAAAAAAAAGCATAAAAGTCAACTTTATAGCTTGCTTTAGTTTTGTTTTGGATTTTTTTTATGATTTTTCCTCCGAAACCAGGAAACCCTAGCCAGGTAACTAAAAAATTCTCAGTTTCATTTAGAGCTTGTCCACAACACAACTTCAAACTTGCGTGTGCTTATCGCATCCTTAAAACCTTCCAGACCTCTTCAAAATTGTTGAAAAGCCTATTGAGGCTAATAATAATCTTTGAGTTAACTACGACCAATTCACGCCGCGAGCGCGAGAAAAAGAGAACCACTCCGCAGGGCTGAATACGCGATGTGGAGTGTTATAAAATTCCACATTCTCGCGCGTAACGCTCTCTCTAGAGACCTCTAGAAGTGTTGTTTAGCGAAGATAAACAAAGTTATCTTTGGTTAACTCAAAGAACTTGCAGAAATACCTCCAGCCTGCATAAAAGGCGCTTTATGAGCCAAGCGAGGCGAAAGTGGCATTTTGCACGAAGCGCGAGAAGCGACGAGGGGAGGAGAAAAATATAGCTTTAGTTTTCTCCATCCCTCGTCTCGCGCTTCGCACTCGTTTCGTGCTTCGAGCAAATGCCGCGTTCGCCTCGCTTGGCTCATAAAGCGGCTGTTATGCAGGCTAAAATACCTCTTCACATTTATAAGATAAGGCGTCATTGATTTGTCAGAGCGGGAAGAGACATTTATAACGTGCAAATAGTCACGAGCTGAAAGGTAACTGACTGATTTGTAACAAGGACTCACCCTGACAAACAAGAAATGATCTCACTTTCCGAAAAGGAACGCTCTTTTAAATATAAACAAACTTCAGAAATAAGTAAAGGAAGCAAAACAATGAACAAAATAGATTTTTTCTTGACTTAGTCATTCCGGCGAGAACAAATGGTGAATGATTCACTCCTGGAAGCAAGCCTCTGAGGAGAAGTGAGAACACCGTTTAGGCAAAACTCTACAATTTGTGTACTTTACTAGCCTGTTCACAGACTCTTCATTTTTAGATATCGTCGAGTGCACGTATAAAAAAAAAAAGCGCGTTCCGCTCTCTCTCACGAGCAATCGCTTATCTTGTGTGCGCACCAAATTCCCAAAACAGAAAAACGTCTGTGAGCAGGGTAGTACTTTCTGTTTCTACATATTTTTCCCACGGAGCTGGCAAGTGCAATTAATGACGGCTTTTTTCAGCAGGTCAACGTAGAGCGCTTTGCGGCGAACAGGCTTGGGAGGTGCTTCTAATTCTAGTTGCTGACAAATGTTTTGAAGCATTCCAAGTTTAAGTCGCTCCAGAGATCCTCCCTTGGCCATGGCACAGATATCGTACTGATCGTAAGTGATGGGGTGCTGTAGCGTGATGGATAGGATTGTTTCTCTTGCCATGGTAAAGTTTTCCTCTTCTACTACAGCTTGGATTTCAGCATCGTCGGATGTTTGCCGTCGGACCTTCGCTGCAAGACGTGAGAAATATGAAGTGCACTGCTGCGGGGTAAGAAACTCGGATACTTTGAACAAACGAACACCATCAGGTCCTTGTGCACGTCTCATTTCACGTGATACGATATCACCGTCCAGTTTTCTGCCGCTGGTTTAACCAATTGTAAACTTCGCATTTAGATAATCCCTCTGGTTTTGGTTAAAGCGATATGCTTTTTTGCTCGGCTTTAGCGCCCATCCTTCTTTTACCTCTACTTCGCCGGATGTAGCCTCTCTTGTATCCCTAAAAGACGCAAACGAAATAACTTGACTGGTCGTGCCCTCCTCCAACCTGGACTTGTAGTCTAGTTTGGCAAGGTCTAACAAAGACCGTTTCTCTAAAGACTTGGTGCATTTCTCTAAAGATAGGTGTTTTTCGAGAGAAGACAGCCTTTGAAAGACCTTAACACACCCATCCTGAGGGCAGGTAAACACGGATGACGATTCATTTGTATTGTCAGTGGGATCATGAACCTGCTCCACTTCCGTCTCTTGCTTCTTCCTTGCCTGAGTCGGTTTTGGGCTAAGGGGTTTAAAGTCTCCAGAAGAAAACTCAGATGAAAGCCAACCAATGCCATGCTCTGAAGTAGATAACACATAAAGAAACAAGATTTACATAAAAAGCACTGTTCACCTACTTCAATACTTCACTCTGCACAGCCTGTGAAGAGTGCCCCTTTGGTCCACTTTGCTGCGCGAACAGATGAAACGTTTGCTTTTTACATCTTATGACCGGACATGTTCTTCAGAACCGCCATATTCTGCAATGTTCGTTTTAAAAATTTTGTAGAACAAATCAAGGACTATAAATTTATAAAGGGTCTATGGGGCTTAAGTCTTTTACAAAGCAAAACCCCACGGGGTGGCAGACACCCGCTCCTCCTGCGTACCAGGATGGGAAATGCATGCCTTTCATGCGTCTGAAGGCTATAACAAACGATAAACGTACACCTTTTTACTCAAACTATAAAAAAATATATATTTGCGCGATGAAATAATTCTAAAAAAGGAAGAATTGTGAATTTTCATTAGACTAACCTTCTGATGTTGTTTCCAATGGGATCTCTTTTCCCTTTCCCATACCATAAGCGCGCCGAGCTACGAGAATTTCGTCCTTAAACTCGAAATTGTTTTATTTGTTGATACCAATAATCTTTCTGTTGTCATCTACTACTGCTTCCTCTTCAACACTTTGCATGACAGCAACTCGAACTCCTTCTATCCCCCCATGCGAAAGAAGAGCACTCTTCAGTTGTTCGGCATTGGTCACGTCATTTCCTTCGTTTATGAAAGTCCTGACGTGATTCTTGCAGGTTGCAGCGAGCCTGTCTGCGGCACCTTTTCCACCCTGTGGGTCAGAAAAGTCAATGCGCTTGATTTCGATGCCGGTGGAGGAGGATATCACTGGGCATGAGAGTACGGTGGACGACGAATGATAACATCCTGCGTTATCTTGGCGAAAGAACGCCTTGTTAATCTCACTGTGCTCCAGCTTGATGGTATGCAGGACATCCTGCATGATTTTAACCACTGCAGCACTGCCTTGATTGCACGACTGGACTATGTGCAGAAAGCCCTGCCACTGGAGTACCCCGCTCACACGACGGTAGACGACAGAAACGTGCCAGGAGATACCTCGCTTACCAATCCAGTCGGTTTGAGACTCTCTGTATTTTTGTGGCAGGAACTTCATGGCCCAGTCGTTAATTATCAAGACAGTGTTTGACAAAAAACAAAGCTCTCCCAACAAACGAGACAAACTCCACTAACGCTGTTTCGGTATTCGTAATACTAGACGGGAATAATTCAATTAAAAATAATATCGTAGAGGCACGTGCAATAGTAAGTGGCGAAAAAGTTCGTGACAATATATAAATTTTATTCCAGGAGTATTTGACCTGGAAATGTTTTATTAATGTTGTTCCTAGAGTCGAATATTTCTACACTGATGATCTATAAACAGACGTACGGTTGTACATTTTTTCATTGGGACAGCTGTAATTGCTTCTTTGTCTGTTTACATTGTGTACGAAGTATAGCACGTACCGTCATATGCGACAAGCTAGCGTGACCAATCTCTGCACGTTTGCTAAATTACACGTCATATGATCTTGTTATCCCGTCTAGTATCTGATTTGTTCGCTCAATAAGAATAATACTCACCTTGTTAACTGTGTGGTTTGAGCAGTGGTTAATTTTCATCATTGTATGTTATTTTCGGATCAAAACATAATCGGGTTTCATTATTATTAAAGCGTCTGATAATGCGTAATAAGCGCTGCGTGGGAAGTGTTTAGATAGCTCAAACGCTGAACTTGCTGGACACATTTTGGTCAAAATCAGGTATGGATGAGTTGCCACTTCACAGGACAAACAGATTCAGAGATGGATTTAACTTCTATCGCAACAAGCAATGGTAAGTTGTTTGTTCAACAAAACTTTGCGTTAAAAATATGAATTCATTCAGCGGGCCGTCTAATTTGCATAAATTTTATTTACTCAGATACTCAAATTGCTTACTTTAGTGTGAGGACTATATTGGATTTCCAGAGCTAAAACTTTCCAGTAATTTAGTTCAATAGCCAAGGTTTTATTCTATATGGGTTTTACTAGGAAGCGGCATATACCAGTGGCCTTTTACAACAGTTAAAGTTCGCCTTCATTCATTAACATTTCCAGGGATACAAATTTGACCTTTTTAAACTTGTCGATTGTAAATGTTAAAAACTTCTTTCTTCAAATTTCTTTCAGGAAATTAAAGAGTAAGTACGAAATAATACTCGGCTGAAGTTTCGATGTTAGGGATTGTTTCTTATGCGTTCACCGTTTTCTCGAAGTTGCGGTCGGATTTTGTTTTTTGAGTACGAAAAACCAGCAAAAAATCGATTTTTCAAACTTTTTGTAATTTCTCCCGTACAATGAATCGCTTGAATCCAAAATTATTTTTTCTTCAATAAGGTTACTAAAAGGGATGTTTTGGCGAGAGGAAAAAAAATTCGTTTTTTTCACGAGTGTCGTGCGATTTTCGATTTTCTCGGAAAATGGCTCTTAATTGTGGTAGAGATGAATTGACCGTAATTTAGTGTGGTTGATAATTTAGCAACCGGTGGAGTTAGGTGTACTTCCGCGTACTTTTAGCTTCAGTCTTTGTAGTTAGTGAAATCAATAAAGTTGCTTTGCATTGGATAAGCTCTAATCTAGTACATTGTAGTTCAGATGGTAGTCCGATTGCAGTTTTTCATAGCTTGTATTTTGTGTTGTTTTGTGTTGTTTTGTGTTGTTTTGGTTGTTTTGTGTTGTTTTGTGTTGTTTTGTGTTGTTTTGTGTTGTTTTGTGTTGTTTTGTGTTGTTTTGTGTTGTTTAGTGTTGTTTAGTGTAGTTTGTTGTAGTTTGGAGAAAGTTGGTGTAGTTTGGTGTAGTTTGATGAAGTCAGGTATGGTTTGATGTAGTTCAGTGTAGTTTTGTGAATTTTGTTTAAGGATGCTGAACGTAGCTGAAGTTCTTCAGCATAGTTTGGTGTAGTTCTGGTATAGTTTGGTATAATATCTTTTCAGTTAGGAAATGAACTTTATTCGCTTGTCTCACGATAGAGTCACTTTGGATGTTGATCGCGCCGACTGCAATACTACCAGTCTTCATCAGGCGATGAGATCGATTGATTATATAAATCGATTGATGTATGTATTAAGTATCGATTGATGCACTACGAATGAACAATATGCACATATTTTATAACACTTTTTTTCAGTTAGTTTGTCTCAGCTTTTTCTAGTTTGGAGTATTTGGATAAAATATTAGTTAATTGACGAAGTATTAGTTAATTAACAAAATTGTTTTAAAGTCTGAAATTTATAGTGAAACTTTACTCACCTTTAGTGCGCATAGAAATAGTTTCCTGTAAAAACAGTTGGTGAATTGACGTTCTCAAGGTGTTTGGGTGCGAATGATGATTCCTGAAGTATCAGTTCCTTTCATAAAGGTATTTTTTAACCAGGGAATTTAATAACCTTGGGCATGCTTGGGCTTGTAAAAAGTTCCACGCATTTGCGCTGGTTAAAAATAGTAGCATCGCACTAAGTTTGCGTGAAGCCAATTAGTGGTCTTGCCACGAACCGTAAAGGCCACGAAAGTTCGTATTAATTTAAAAGACACTACGTAATGTACTTCGCATCGCAGTTCGAACTCTGTCAATCTTATAGAGGACCCACATAAGTTTAGTGCAGCTAGAATTTCAGAAAAATGATTAAAATTCTGTGACGAGCGTAATTTTTCTTCTTTCTCGTAGCACCCACCCTCAAATAAAAAATTAGAGGCCAGAGAAGAGTTCTGGTTATCTTGTTTGTTTCATACGTTTTGCCATTATTTTTTTTAAAAACTTTATGCTTTGTTAAGCATGGAAGTAAATAACCCTGAGCAAGCATGGGCTTGTCAAAAGTTCTACGCATGTGAGCTGTTGAAAATAGTACCAGCGCACTAGGCTTGCGTAAAGTCAATTAGTAGTCTTGCCACGAACCGTAAAGGCCACGAAAGTTCGTATTAATTTAAAAGATACTACGCAATATACTTCGCATCGCAGTTCGAACTCTGTTGATCTTACAAAGGACCCACGTAAGTTTAATGCAGCTGGAATTTCAGAAAAATTATTGAAATTCTGTGACAAGTGTAATTTTCCTTCTTTCTTGTGGCACCCGCCCTCAAATAAAAAATCAGAGGCCAGAGAAAAGTTCCGGTTATCTTGTTTGTTTCGTGCGTTTTGCCATTATTTTTTTTAAAAACTTTATGCTTTGTTAACCAGGGAAGTAAATAACCTTGAACAAGCATGGGCTTGTCAAAAGTTCCATGCATGTGAGCTGGTTAAAAATAATACTAGCGTACTAAGTCTGCATAAAGCCAATTAGTAGTCTTTTCATGAACCGTAAAGGCCACAAAAGTTCATAAAAATTTTAAAAGACACCACGTAATATACTTCGCATCGCAATTCGAACTCTGTTAATCTTACAAAGGACCCACATAGGTTTAGTAAAGCTAACGTTTTAGAGAAATGACTTAAATTCTGTGAAAAGCGTAATTTTTCTTCTTTCAAGTAGCACCCGCCCTCAAATAAGAGAGTAGAGGTCAGAGAACAGTTCAGGTGATATCAGAATGTTTTTTCACTTTTTTTTTAATCTTTTACCCATTCCGTATTTTTTTACAATTTGCTGCTTGAGAAACTTGGTTCCTTTTTCCGAGCTAAAAAGAATTGTTTAAAGTGACCGTTGAAGCGGGACGTCTTTCTTGAAGTTTATGTGAATTTTTTTTTTTTTTACCATTACCACATCACGATGGAAATCGTGTCATCGCGTGTTTAAACTACTTTTTGAGAAATTGTCTGGCACAGTTACTATGATTAACGGTTTAAGTGGAGTAACAGTTCTGAGAGGTGGAATTCTGGTTATCTTGCTTGATTCGTGTGTTTTAGAATTTTTTTCTTTAAACTTTATGCCTTGTTAACCAGGGAAATTACTAACCTTGAGCACGCACGGGCTTGTCAAAAGTTCCATGTATGTGAGCTGGTTAAAAATAGTACCAGCGTACTAGGCTTGCGCAAAGCCAATTAGTAGTCTTGCCACGAACCGTAAAGGCCACAAAAGTTTATTTTATCGCAAATACAGTTCCTGGGAGTCACGAAGCAAAAATCTTATCGAAACTAGTTTCATGTTCTAATAGCAATAAATAACAAATTAAAGCACATTCTCTTTGAATAATGTTATGAATGACAGGGGTTCTTTGAAACAAAAAGTGATAGAAAGAGTTTCAGTTCTGGTCAATATTGACTTTTCATAGCCCACTTTCAAATCTGAGGGAACGCGCTAAGCTAAGCTTTCCGCCGCGAATTTTCGCTTCGTGGCGAAAATTCAATGAAAAAGCGTCCTTTGTTCAAACGAAATGTCGCCTAAAAGGCCTGGAACGTTTGATCGAATTTTCGCTCGAACATTCGACGAAAGATCTTTAAAACAATTAACGAAATTCGCCGAATTCCGTTTGCATTTCTTTTGCACAATACTGTATGATATTGCAAGAAAGACAATGAAAATACAAATAAAGAAAAAAGAGAAAACATAGGAACCCGTGTTGCTTGCCCTTTTGCAGCGTGCAGATATATTTTGAGCCAGACTTACACACCTAAACCCGACACCACGCAATAAAACACGAAAGAGTGTTGCATAACAATTGGCTCGCACATGTACGCAGGAAAGGCCGTGGCATTCAGCGAAGATAATAGCAAATGCAGAAGATATTTGCAGACAAAAAAACAGGCAAATAAAATAACAGAAGG